TGATGGTATTAATACATTGCAAAATTCAAATTGATAGTATGTCCTCCCCCTGAATTTATTTTGGATGATTTAGATGAAAAACAGAAACAACTAGAATTAATTTACAACCAACGTTTTCAAGGCATTATAGTAAGATCAAGAGCTTGTTGGAAGGAGCTGGGGGACAGTTTACAAGTTACTTTTTTAAAATTTGCACACATAAACTACACTCGGAAAAATTAACAAAATTAAAAATATCAGAGAATAAGTTTACAGGTGATCCCAATGAAAATCTAGAAAAACAAGCAGGGTTTTATTATGCTCTTTACTCCTATTTATTTATCATTGCAATAGAAATGCTGGCCATTAGGGGCCTTTATAATGATAATTAATCAGGACTTTCTGTCAATGGAAGAATTTCTAAAATCTCACAGTATGCGGATGATTCTAACTTTCTTTTACCCCCGATATATCTTCCTTTTATGCCCTCCTTTAGGACTTTGATTCCTCCCCTTATTTATCTGACCTATTACTAAACCATGATAAGTGTAAAGTGGTAAAACACAAATTTGGTATTACCCTCAGGCCTTCAACTCCAATGGGTAGACGGTGGCATAGAAATATTAGGTAACGTTATATATATTCCGGTAGATCTATCCAATATCTTGAGACAAAAATTTCACCCACGTTTAGACAAAATAGACAAAATTCTGTATCCCTGGGAAGGAAAAAGGTTGTTACTATCTGGAAAAATTACAATTTAAAAATTACAAATTAAAAATTTCAGACACCCATTCAAGCTACTAGTTTCGCCGGCGCCGAGACAGTCTTGGATTTCTTTGCTGCTAACGTTAAAAACAAACATGTGGCGTTATCTAAGCTTTGGAATAATCGCAAAAACAACACGTTTTCCTTTGATAACTCAAAAGGACGCCTGCAGATTCAGGTTTGCCAAGGAAACGTAAAGAAGCTTTCTTGTTCACCAGTGTGTAGAACTAAAGGTAATTGTAAGGTACGATCAGTATTTGTCTGTTATTCCTGTTTTATAAGGAAGCGAAATCTCCCTCCCACGACGTATTTTGGTTGTCGCCTATAGTCCTCTGACCTGGTCCTCTTTGTATGCATGAGTGTCACCTCTCACCCGATACTGTAGTAAACCCCTGGGTTCCAACATGTGCACACCTGCATTTACGGATAGCTGATTTGCATGGGTGTATCTTGTGCTGTACACCGTTTTTGAAGTGACAAATAAAGGTCAATTTATGGATGTTAATTCTTCAACAGTGTCCAGAACTTGAAAACAAAGGAGGTTACCTTCTTGTTAAAACATGTGTAATCTATGATGGTTTTTGGTTGGAATAGAGCCAATTGGGTTTTGGAAATATAGCTCTCACACAATTACAAATACTCTACAACAAAATACATTGTATCTCTACAAATATTTTCATCACCTAAATTGCTTTACAACAAAACAAACTATAACTGTTACAGCTTTTATTTACGATTATTCTTAAAATAATAGAACATTTTCTTATAGTTTTACAGAAATTTCCCAGAAGAGACCATTTCTTAAACTTTTATTATGTCTGACAAATTTTCCTTGCCTTTTTTTTGGCAGATGACCCCTCAGTTATTGCGGAAGTATGCAATAATTTTCATCAAGTCAAGTTACCGCCAGAACAACCACTGGGACCCATGGAGATGAGTACGCCACAACCCATGGAGAGCAGAAAAAGAAAGGTTACATCAAAGGTAATCTCAAATACCTCCTATCCGCTTCTTAATATTTCTCCATTGTCATTACAACTGTAGTTGGTCCTAATGAAGCAGAAGCTACTCAGTGATACAAATCTGTGCTTGCCAGTAATCTGATAACATTTAACTTTATCTTCTCCAAAACCTTTTAATAACATCAATGCACTGGAGATAGATATGTAACGTGCACATGACACATTTGTTCATTGTGTCCCTTTTATGGTTCACTGTATTGTTCACTGTCATTTGTGCAATGGAATCATACAAAATCATGGAACATAGATGTAACATAATGGATGTGTCTAATGCTGATGAAGGATAGACATCCAGGTATGAGATACGCAAGGAAATTGTTTCTCAGAGATCTTGATAGAATTCCATTTTTTCCTGTTGATTGAGTAACAATTTCCTTCTACATCTTGTCTAACTGATCGTTAATTGCCATTCATCGCAGTCTAGCGCAAGCAAGCAGCCCCAAAACACCACATGGGCCATGATGGTGAGCGTGCCGAATGAAGGGACAGTCCCAATGCCAGCCATACAGATTGACGGGTGGAAGACGCCAATCTCGGGGACCAGGTGGACTATGTCTTCTGTAATGCTAGAGGAACTCAATAGGGGCTGCACGAGCAACCTCCATGGAGGTTGCTCGTGCAGCCCTCCGCGATACCCCCGCAGAGCTCTGCGCCAAAACAAGCCAATTCGTTGGTTGGCGTCACGGTTCAGTTTTGTATAGAGCTCTGTATATATCAACTGAATTCAATGTGAGTAGTAGGCGATATACAGCCAGTACTGTGTCACAAATAAAGACTTCGTCACGCAACTCTGCGCAACTCGGAGAGCTCTGCGCCCTAACAAGTCAATTCGTTGGTTGGCGTCACGGTTCAGTTTTGTATAGAGCTCTGTAGATATCAAGTTAATTCGTGCAGCCCCTTCTCGAGGAACTGGGCTATTCATAATTTGATGTCGTTATTCCATACTGACTGGTTGCAATGAAGTCTGAGTTCGTTAAAAAGATTATAAAAATAATACAGGATTACACAAAAGCCTGCAGGATGTACATGTACTAATATGCAATCAACAAGTGAAGTACACATTTTGCTTGATGTACTGTAGTGGCTTTAAAATTCTCAAGTAAACGACTGTTACACGTGTATTGGTGAAATTTTCTATGTATTTTGATAGATTACTAGTATCCACTTTTAATAGTGGACATCAATACATTCCATGATATTCTTTTGTTTTGGATTTTTTGTTCGTACAGACAATTATGATAATCTTTATGCAACCCATGAATCACTGCAGGACCTAACTAGACTTGACAGCAGAAGGGAGAAGACGCCAAAAAAGTCTGAGGAAAAACAGGTAATTGCAATATGTTAGCAGAGCCTTAAAATCCAACAGAGGGCTGTATAATCACAAGACGATGTCTCTTCAGGGAGTAAAGATAATATTGTTTTGAGACTGGGTGATTAATGATGATTATGGTATATTGCTAGGGATATATATTTCAATGTTTTCACCTCAATCTGTACAGTAGTGGCTTGGAAACGTACCACACTGCAATATAACCATTATCAGGTCATTTGGAAACATGTCGAATCTGTGCTGTACAGGGACAGAAAACGTTCTCTTGCGCTGACCAAGCTGACAAGGCAACATGTGTTCTTAGATAGTTGGTCCAAGATGCGTGTAAACTAAACTGTTTACACATTATCTGCTCAGGTGAAACAAGAAATGTCTGAGTCAGGAGACAAACTGACAAAGGGAACTCATCTCACAATGTCTTGCTTTTTGGGAAAGTTGTAATAGCAATGTACCTCTGAGAAGTAGTGATGATCCCAGAATGACTGCCTTACAGAATGTACAGAATTTTTGTTTTGGAAGACAGAGTTAGAAGGGCAACTGCATGCTAAATCACTAGTAGCCAAACATTTCATCAGCTGGCAGACACATAAAGATCTTAATTTGACCATCAATTGTTACTTAAGTTTGATTGCTTTTGTATCATCTGCACCATTCCAGGCCATCTATCCTGGTGTCTACGTCATTCCTAAGAGACTGAACCAAGAGAATTTATTTTCTCTTCAGAGAGGAGCCGGTGGGGGGAATACTAACATGACAGGGTATGTGTATGGATATAATGTGCAGAATACTGTGTCGACAGGTACTGGCAACGCAGAGCTGCAAACAAATACTTCAGGTCCAGTTGACCTACAAGAAATAACCTCAGATGTCCTCCCCAAACTATGGCCAGTAGTATTATAGGGTTGGACCCTAATCACAGTACTATCGATTGTTTATTGTGTCAAATCGAATTCTTGCCGCCAACTGTACATATCCTTAGCGCTCGTACCAGACAAACTTTGAAAACTTCAAAGACTTTCAGTCATTTTAATGTAGAACGACAGTAGTTATCTTACTCGTGAGAAATTATATTTTTTTACTTATATTGCTATAATAATATGACGATGGTTTTTATAAATTTATAAATCTAGTATATTACAAGTGTAAGTAAGTTGCCCTCTTATATCTACTAGTATTGTATAATCCCAAAAGTTGTAAATATCAGCACAATTCAGTTTTTACTGCAAGTATGATACATGTATGCTCTTTGTTCTTTTCAATAAACCAATCACTATAATCACTACTATAGTTTAACAAACAATTATGTATACCCCTGTAAATAAAGATGCTTTTAAGTACTGATGAAAGTTTACATATTTAAGGTCTAACATTAAAAGTTTACTGTAACATACCATAGCATATGGTTAGTAGTAACCTGTACAATGTAATTGAAATCTGGTTTTTATGATGCTGTGGCCAGGCGGTGCTTGGTATCATTTTCCCTATGATCGATTGCCTGTTTTGTCAATCGTTTTTTGAGGATTCCAAGAAATGTTTCTTTATTGTCCAAACTTTGTTCGAGCCATGCTTCACTTAGGCCAACACTGAGCAATAAATTACGTACGTTTCTTAGCCAATCTCCCCTGCCCACCTGTTCTAAATCAAATAACATATTAAAACATTTTAGAGTACGTATTGTCATTTATTTATAATAATTTCAGCCAAATTTCATACATTATAAATGTATACACATGTCATGTTCAAGAAAAATGGCACAGCTTTATTAATAACTCTTCAGAATTATAACTAGTAACAGTGATTTGCCACTCTACTTTTTCAAGACTTTGTGTTTTGTATAAAAATGACATTTTGTGCACTGGTAAGTCGGGTCGGATTCATTTTGACGTATCTGCTTCTTAAAGTATGCCTTTCTACATTCTCTAAGCGGTCTGAAATGTAATGAAAATAGCTCAGGTAAAATAATTCTATATAATCCAGATATTCATCAAAGCTACAAACGTGTCAATCCTTGAAATGAAGCCATGGCAAGAACGCAAAGTGGAAAACCATTGTTAAGCTACAGAAGTGACTCAAAGATTTTTCTTGAGATACGACACGTAGTTTTCCATGGCTTCCCTTGCTACGTCTATCGTATTGATATCGATCAAGCAACAATGGAAGCCATGTTTGTAGTGGTCGTGTTGGACGGCCACTCCCAGCTTCTCCAGCCGACGTGCGTACGCCACGCCTTCATCTCTCAGTACGTCATATTCGCAAGTCATAACGTAGGTAGGGGGGAGCTTCTTTACGTCAGCGTCATTAGCCATTAAAGGGGCGAATCGAGGGTCCAAAATGGTCTCTATCTTTTCTATTGAGGGGAACTCGACATCTTTCTTATTTAAAGGGGTGGATACTATGTTGTGGTTTAAGTATCCGGCAAACTGCGACTTCTTCAACGCGTCTGTGGTGTGGTTGTTGGTTTTTAAGAGTTCCAATGAAGATAAATCGTCGTTCAGATACCACAGCCAGAAGGAGATCATTAAATCAGTGGTTAGAGGACTCAGGTGACCATAGTCCTTGTAAGAGGCCGTGTTAAAGTCAAAAGCCTGCAGGGCTGGGTACAACAGCGCCTGCACCTTCAACTTTGGGAACTCCTTTTCTTTCGTCATGGAGATCGCGACGGCTGCGGCCAGATTACCGCCAGCGCTGTCCCCACCAACGCCAACGCGCGACGGATCGACGTTGTAGTCCTCCGCGTGACGTAGGAAGAACTTTGTGGCGACCAGACAGTCGTCGAAACTAGCGGGAAATTGGTGCTCGGGAGCCAGTCGAAAACTAAAAAAAAGAAAAAAAAAAGAAAACAGTAATCGTTTAAGGTCTTTTCATTAAGACGGGAATACATGCATTCCCTAACCACCCCTCCAATACAATCCGTTACAAAAGAACATTTTACACATTTTTAAATTAATTAATAATTTTACATTGAATTACTGTTCCTGTATTATCGTGTTAACTTTTCTTTATTATACTAAGAGTTTGATATCATACTAATATTTCAATTGGACTCCAACTTCTACAAATAATAGTATCATGCTACAATTTTTTTAGGCCATCTTGGTTTGATTATATGGATGGCATGGCATCCGCTCGCGCATGAATTTTCGGCCTGCAAAAAAAAAAGTTTTCAACCATACTGTGAATCGTACAAAGCAGTTACAAAATAAGCAAATATATACCGTAGGTTCCAAAAAAAAATTTGATAAACGATACCAATTTTGTAGAATGCCATAATCAAACGAAAAAGACGAAAATGTAAAGAAATGAAGTTGAAGACTAGATTATTTGCCCGACTTTGTCCGAATATTATTTTGTGTAATTTTTTTCAACCTTTATGACCACTTAGATTTCGAAACGAAAGCAACTTTTGCAAAACATTTCTTTTTTTCGCACGCTCGCATCGGTTTTGGGGTTCCCAGAGGATGTAATCCATATAATCAAATCAACATGGCCTTATATTCCGACATTTCATGGCTAGACATGCATGGCGATGGCACAATCAAGTTATGTCAACTTGTTTTATGCCACCAACAAAGTAGAGGACAAATACAGGGCATGACAATACTCATTTTTACTTGCAATACGTTAGAAAAGTCGTGTCTTCCCAAGGGCACAAGATCGGTGGCATGTCAGGACCACCTATTGGTTCTCTGCCGTTACGGCACACGACCCCAAATTTTACAGTTCGTAGATTATACTCACTCCACGGCGACAAGCACGTTTCCCAGCTGCTTTGGGATGTAAGCCATCAACTCATCCAAATCATCTTGAAACAACATGTACAGAGAGGAAATATTTTTCATGACATAGTATACAGTAAATGATAAGTCAATGATGCCAATAATGCCATAGTTACTTCTGTTTCCCTCATAAATATATACGCGTTTGCAGGTCTTTTCTTCCTATATATTGTCCCAACACGTCATGTCAGTCATCTTGCCTTGACCGAGTTGACTCCCTCCATCCGCCATTGTACATCAAAATACCGTGTAATTTTGACATTGCCAGATCAGATCAAATTATAAATAATTAATCGACATGACATATATACATAGGATATAAAGATTTTCTGTTTACACAACCAAAACGTGTATAACGGCGAGAAGCAAAACTCCAGTCAGAAGCTCTAAGAAAGGTGTGTTGACAGACACCGAAACGTAAGCAAGGTGAGAAGTTTTGGTTTTTTAAAAAGAAAATCCCTGTATGTTCTATCAACCTGATGAAACTCATTACAGTATATTAACGTTACATGTTTTGTTAGCCATGGCGTCGATATCGCCAGGTGTCTCTGTTTAGTAAAAAAAAAAAAAGGATGTCTGTACTCAGAACTCACCCATCGCCACTTGTGCCCATCCTCCGCCGTGAAAATAGACCAGGCCTGTCCTCCTATCTCCAGCAGGGTGAACTGCAGCAGGCTCATAGATCCTTACTTTGACCCCGTCGAAGGTCGTGTCTGTGACATGCAGACCAGTTCTGTGGTCGGACTTGAACTTCCTGGCGATGTTTGTCACTCCGGATATGGTGGCCCGCCTAATGTGCGCGTCCCTGGCTATGCCCAAGTTCTCTCCAAGTCTCGCCTGGAGACAAAACAGAGAAAAAGACAGTGGAATAAAAAAGGAGGTGAAGACAGAGAATTTGGGGGAGGGGGGGAAGGGAAGAGAGGGAGGGAGGGAGGGGAGATAGAGAGTTGGGGAGAGGAAGAGAAGAGGGGGAGGAGATTAGAGGGAGAGGAAGAGAGAGTTGGGGAGAGGGGAGGGGGAGATAGAGATTTAGGGAAGGTGATGAGAGGGAGAAGAGGCATGGGGCGATAGAGAGTTGGTGAGAGGAGGAGATAAGAGCGAGAGGAGAGCGAGAAGAGAAAGAGCTTAGGAGGGGATGAGATGAGAGGGAGATAAGAGAGAGGGGAGATAGAAAGTGGGGAGGGAGAGGAGAGAGAGGAGATAGCGAGTTGGGGAGGGAAGGAGGAAAAGAGGTGAGAGTGAGAGAAAGAATTGATTAAAAATTGTGGGAGGGGAAGAGGAAAATGGGAGATAGAGAGTTGGAAAAAGGGGAGATAAACGTGGTAAAGGGTTGGGGAGAGAGGGGCAGGAAAGAGGGATGGGGAGAGGAAGGGACATCGGAGAAAAGTTGACAGGATGAAAGAGCCTAAAGAGAGACTAGAGAGATTTGGGTAACACATGCCCGACTATTCAAAGAATACCCCCTCCCCTCTTACATGTAAAACGATGTAAATGACATGGCTTTAAGTTCTCACCACGTGACCGAGTGTCCTGAAGTATATTCCCATGGCGGCGTAGACCCAAGGCTGGGTGACTCCGTCTGGAACAGGCTCGTTACAGTAGTAGGCCAGGAACAACACTGCAGCGGCGATCACCACAACCGATTTCATACTTATTCTGTAAGAAAAAGTTAGGCCACAGCGAACTTATTTTATGGATGACATCCACACGTTCATTGGTAAATCGCCAGTTCCAAAAAAAAGGGCACGTCGTTCTAGGCTCTGGCCTGGCTCTAAGCCTGGGTTGTCCGTTGTAGATAGCGACAATACAAAGGATTGCATCCAGGCTACCGAAGCTCCACGACGCAATATGAACTCAGTACATACCTGCAGTGCCAGTTCATAAATCGGGAAATGATTTAATGGCATTATTTGTTAAGACAAGACTGTCTTTTGGTGTAGAATATGATCAAAAGATATAATTTATGCAATCGAGGATCATATTTGCATAATCAGGAGTTTCCTAGTCATAAGAAAGTTATTTTACGAAGGTATGAGATCGTGGAACATAGATTTGTTGTGACGCCAGTAGAAACAGAACTGACTCTCAGAGTCGACCTTTGTACCATTGTACGGCGAGGCCGTGGTCATGGCCATGATTAAAAACAGCTAAGAAGTACTCTCCTTTGCTGGAAGCCAAGTGTGCCTGCACGTCCCTAGATTCCTAACAGCCTTACCTAGCGTTCCGGTTTGTTTTGCTCGTCAACCGGCCCCTTCGCGAGTCGTACCGCCACTATTTGTGATCGCTCCACATGTATTACATCCGAATGGCCGCCATCTTGGTTAACTGCAAGACTGGGGTTATAAGGTCACGAGGGGCGGGGCGCGGGAAGCGTGCCAAATAATGTTCAGCGGCCTGCAAATGTCCCACTACTTTTCTGATAACCTATTTCTATTCATCAGAAAAGTAGTGATACGAATTCCCCGTCCTCCCAGTCATACAAATTCATACCGCTGAATTACCGTCATCCTAGTCACCCATGATATATGTGCCGTATAGAATTTGTCAAAAATGCATTTGAGCGACAGATGACATACCAAGTCGGTACTTTAGAGTACATTTTCAGGGTCTAAAATTTTAGTCCTGAGACAAATAAATTTAAACGCAGCCATGAAGGCAAGAATAGATTGTACTCGTCATCTGATCCTCAAGAGCCATGTATATTGCTGGTCAGGTCAAGGTCACTGTAGCGAGGGAAAACAAATATCAAGGGTTGCTCAGATACATACCAAACCCTATTTTGACAAATATATTGTATGTATTTTCATACTTTTTTTTATATAATAGTAGAGTTAACGCCGGCGTACTATTCTCGTCTCGTGATAATTATACCCGGTTCACTCAGTGAGGCACAATCGTTTCTGCTTGTGTGTTGTGTACAAAATACTACAGCGATGGCTGGAAATATCTGTAGTGGAGGGGAGATTGAACGACCAAAGGTAAATAAATTATATTGTTTGTACTCCAGAACGACATATGCTTCGTAAGTAAGCTCTTCACGGAACGTTGGCCAAGGCTGACCATGATAACACAAAATGACGTAGTATCAATATAATGAAAATTGTTCCACTCTCAGGGACAAGTGCATAGCAACGAAACTAAATCCAAACTTTGCAAGCATACATTCTATAGACTTTATATTGTTTTATAGTGAGTAAAAAAGTAAATAAATCTTTTGGTTTGGAAAAATAACCGGTTACCATCATACATGCGCAGAATGTTCACCTTTTGCAGGGACAGAGCTACCAGGAGCACTAGATTAAGTTCTTCAGTTCTTCTAGTGGTACCAATGCCCTTGAGAGAGGTGTACAGACAGTCTCTAGCCTACTCTGGTTCACTTATCTTGAACTCTCTACCACAAGATGTCAGAGCAACACCTTCTCTTACAACTTTCAACGGCTTCTGTCTCTGTGACTGACCTTTACGGAACCACTATGGACCTGATGACGTTATCACCTGTTTTGTTATTGTTATTCATTTATGTTTTCATTTATTTATGCTTTGTATTATTGTTTTTCTTAACTCGAAAAGTGTTTTGTACTACTATATTATTATAATTATTAATTTATTACTATCGTTTTGATGCCTTGACTATCCTCCAAACTCGACCTCCACAAAAAGCGGTCGTCATGGCTGAATGGGGTTATACATATTGTACATATGATATATCTTCAAGTATAAATAAAGGCGCAAACAAACAAACAAACAAACAAACAAACACCAGCACATGAGGCTGCTCCTCGATCCCATGCTCCCTGCAAAACAACTAGCACAGACATTCTGTGAGCTGCAAGAGAAGAGCAGGGATTGTGCGTCGTTACTGCGCATGACCACATACCTGCAGAAGTCTTCGATAGAGAACCCTGTTTGGCAGGTGAGTGATTGGTGTGTACTTATGCGGCCCATCCGTACCAACAACGATGTCGAAGGGTGGCATCGGAGGCTCTAGCAACTGAGAAGGCACGATAAGCTGCCATGCTATGTTCTCCTGCCGTCGCTAAGAAATAAGCAGATCTCGTCCGCCTCCTGGCGAAGTCTGTGAAGAATAAGAAACTGAAGAAGTTTCAGAGAAGGGCATATGCAAGTGTCCAACGGAAAATCTTCGCATTGTGAGTAAGTGAGGCAGGAAAGAAGTACTGGCTCCCTGCTCCGTGCATGTGCACGCCTCTATGCACCCACTGTCCTGTAGCCTCTACCAGTGTATGAAGCCCCTACCAGTGTATGTAGCCCCTACCAGTGTATGTAGCCTCTGAACATGAATCCTAAAAGATGACCTAAAAACTTTACATCTTTTTCAAGAAAAAGATCCGAAAGTGTGCTTTTGTAATGTTACCAGAATTTTCAGTACTTACATTTTAATGAGACTGAGCCTACATTTAACCTCCAGTTTAAGACACACTGATACTGTTCCAGCTAAGTCAAGTCGTAGGGTGAAGTCTAATTGCTTTGAGTGTCCCAGATATTTCAACGTGCTAGTGGGTTTTCATGATCAGGAGTCTTTTACTTTCAATGGGACCGAACAATTAATAATGAGATTTTCGGCTAAATGTGCAGCCATCTTGGGGTTTGTCTACTAGTTAGCGGGGGTATTCGTTACTAAGTGTTGTTACTCACTGCCCCCCCCCCCCCTTGCAGCATGACATGGTACTGAAGTCTCACAAATATGGAAATGGACATGATGGATATGCCAATGTCTGCGCTGAGAAATTTGCTGATTTCAGGTCATGGAGAAAAGAGAGTCTGTCTAATGTTATATTGTTCTATTTCCTATACAATATTTGTTTCAGAGCAACGAGGTGGGCGGATCATACAACATGGAACAGGAAGGCTTACAAAGGTCATTGGACAAAGTGCAGGAATATGTGGAAGTGGGGAGGCTTGTTACCGACCGCCACCTTGGTATTAAGAAAATGATTAGGGAAGAACATCCCTTAATCAAACATCTCTACGACATTTGGCATGTTGCTAAGAGTAAGTAACAATTTTTCAGCCTAACCATTGCATTTTATAGGAGGTTTAATACTACTGAGGCAGCAATAATGCATTATTAGACATTTACTACTCATTAGTTATTGCTATACCTAAACCCTGTGTAGCTGTTGTCTGCTGAGGGGAATGTGCTCCTGATTTTAGTGACAGCACAAGCAGGCAGTGGCACCCTCACATGTTTCCCGAGAAAGTGATAAAACCGGACGATGAATTGCCGGTAGGCTGTTTATCTCTTCCATCTAAAATGTGGAAAAAATCAGAGGCGATTCTAACATGGTCCATTCAGGATGTTTTGGATTACAGGGTACTTGATCATCCACAGAAACCAACCATGAGTGTCGGATAAAGAGATGTGAAAAGGAGCAGTCTAAACTGGACTGCAGAAAATAGATCTACTATACTCATTATACAAAAACAAGTATAATACTTACCAAGTAAAGTTTTCCACAACTTTGGAAATGAACAGTAGTTTTGACATAAAAACCCATGCACTCACTCAGGTCCCAAAGTTTCCGAATAGCGGTCCTGATAGACATCGTGAACTGTACCCAACACCGCCTCATTGAGGCACACAGCAGAAAAATCCTGGTGCTGCGTGATACATGAGATTCCCCCCTGCTGTTCCCTTTTTGCACACACCATCTGTTGCTCATGACAACAGACGCATTCTTCCTGGGACAATGGCTCGCATTTCCCGCAGGAGCACCTAGTGATACCAAAATTCAATACTAAAGAATAATCTTAAAATCGCCAGGGAACCAACAAAAACATTGGTACTGCAGAGTTGAGTTGAGTTTATTGAGGATCCACCAATAGACAGTACTGCAGACAGTGTTTTTTGCAGCAGACTGTGATATATGTAGGTCCGACGTCAAGCATATTTTCAGGCACCGGAGTAGCCGCCTTTATTATTGTCATCAACGTTTTTCGCTTATTTTTATTTTACTTTTTTGTTGAAAATAATGTAACTAAACATCGATAAATGTCACTAAATGGCATTACAATACGACAACGTTAAGGTGATTGTAGCCATGAACTGCCACGGACGGCTACAAGTGAACGACTGAAAACCAAGGACAAAAATTATAAATTATTTCATTGTGCAAACAAACAAAGGCTGTCGTGTCTGTCAACAAAGTTTAGCTCTCCCTACGATTTCTACTCTGGTAATCTTCGATCACTTGTTAACTTTGGCTTCGACTGTTATTTTGGGTCATCAAACCTAGCGGGCCTAACTCACCAATCGTTATTCTTCGTCCGATTTTGACTCAACGCAACGCCCCCCTCCCCGCCGCCGCCATGCGCACCAGGAACTTCGTGGTCCTCGTCACTGTCAGAGCTGTCCACAACGGCATTAACTCTCACACTAGAGCAAGTCATACTGTGGTCAACTAATTTCCTGCCAAAGCTTATCAAGTTACATTGCGGGGCTAGTGCATGGTTGGTTAAAAGGGCGGTCAGGTTACGGTTGATTGATTGTGCGACACCACAACCCCTCCCTGAAACTTTGCCTATACTTAAACTAGCAACGTTACGTGACCGTTATTCTAAGCTAAAATTTGTGAATGACCTGGCTGGCTATTTTTACTAAACTACCAAGGTGGTAATCGTCTGTAACACAGAAGGGAACAGTATTTTAAACGTTACCAGCGCTAGTTCGCCAATGAGCCCTGCCCCGCGTCCACCCCCCGTTTTGTCATGTTACGGTTACCTGCATTTTGGCGAGGACTATTCAAATCGCCGTATTCAGGCGGTAACCACATAGTTTGCAACATTACTGTTTGTAACCTGATATATTGTGTACGTCATGACACAATAACAAGCGATGTTCCCGCATGTCAACACTGTTAGTATATACGTTACATATACAAGTACAGTTTCTCCTTTTCGCCTGTCTAAGAATATTGTAGTATAAAATTGCCAACTTAATAAAAGAAATGTAGGGGCCAATTAAAGGCTAACTCTTTCAAAACATGTTGACATATCCACTAAAATTCAAACGACTCAGTGAAGCATATCGTGACTCAATACCCCAACAGATAGCCGACCAGGATAGCATGCATTATTTCACATTCACATGTCACAATCACAACGACAACGTTCATACAACAAGAGAATACGACGGTAGACATGACAGACATTGACCTTTCTCAGGAAGTGTCACCATGTGGCCAAACCTGTCAATAAGATGCTACAGGCAGGTCACCGTTAGACTGTTGAATCTAAAATCCTCCTCTATTCACTTAGTTATTGTGGCTATGAAATTAAGGGCTAGCATACATAACGGAGGGGGC